ACTGCCCTTAAGACTGGGTGATGGAGTGAGACTCCAACTCAAAAAAAAAAAAAGATTTATGCCATACTTCGCCCTCTATTCACTAGTAGTCGGGACCCTGCTGACTCGTGGTATCCAACTTCCCAAAGTGCTAACTGCTTGTCTCCCTGCCCGGGTTTCCCCTCCTTGCTCACCTCAGATTGTTCTCAATGTTCCTCCCACCTCTCGGGATCTCCACTGACTCATCTCCAAGCCTCATCATCTTAAACGTCATCATCTTGACTAGATTCTGACTGGACTCTGCTCCTTTGAATGTGTGTTTTACTTACTGGACTGTAGTTCCTCATCAACACCTTAATCTATGACGGTATCTTGACTCCCGTTCTGCCCCAGTCCTTGTTCTGAACAGACACTAGTTTGACATCTTCTGCTGTGAAAATTGGTCATGCCCAAACTAATTCCAGGACTTGCTAAATCTGTGCCAGAAGCTAATGTTATGTGAGACAGTGTCATGGACAAAGTGGAAAATGATTTCATCTGTAAAGGACGGTTGGTCTTCAGTAGGTAAAGAGGGTGAATACTGGCGAGGGAAGGCAACATGGACATAGACAGTTCCAGAGACCGGGTAACAACTGCTGCATGTGTCTTCTCCTGTGCACTCTGTCACTCTCCTGCTGCTCCTTTATTTTTGCCCTCTCTAGATACGGCACAGGCAGAATGCACAAAGTATGACAACTGAGGAAATGTGACCTGTGAGCAAAATGAAGATGAAGATAACCAAAGTTTCCAGATACAGAAATAAGCAGTTTGTGTTGCTATCTGTACCAGGGAACACTGGAGAAGGAACAAGTCTGGGGAGATCACACAATGTTGAGGGAGTGCTAGAACCCCAAGGGTCAGATTTCTCTTATCTTCTGATATCTAGAGGGTTCCACTTAATATTGCTGAGTCTAATATCTCCACGCATGCAGAAAACACCGTGGATCTAATACGTGTCCAGTAGTCCTGACGGTGAATCCAGAGTCATCATCAGGATTCTAAGTCAGAATCTATTTTGTCTTAGTGCTAACTGTTCTTAAACATTTTCACACATCGAGGGCTGTAGGATCAGAAACTCCATAGTGTGGATACTCAGCAATCTCAGGGAAACCGCGGTATCATCAAACTTTCATGCTTTAAAAAGCAAAGACATTAACCAGAGCATAATATAGACAAAGTTAAGCTAGATTGGGCTGATTTATGATCTGTTAATTTAGCCTCAAGAAGAGCAAGGTCTTTGAAGCTAGAGTTCTGGAGTAGAATCATGGAGCTGCTGATCACCAGTTGCTGATCATGGAAAAATTTGTCTTTCTGAGTCCAAGATTCTGTGAAATAAAGGCATTACTGTTTGCCGTGGTTATCGTGAGGACTGGATGAATCGCACATACAGTGCTTATAAACGGAAGTTTCTTTTTTTTTCGTACTCCTCTTCAACTAAATAAAAACATTTGTCAGAATCATTAACCAAGTCTTAAAACACAAGAGAAAACATTTCCTTTGAATGCTTTCTTTGCCTACATTTTCCCAAGATTGTCTTTGCACACTGTTTCTACTTTCCCATCTCACAGACCTTGATGGAAAATATTGACGTTGCTGCCTCTGTGTCAATTCTTTCCTCACCCATTGGCCAGTGGCAACATGATTGTGGTAGATTAAGCATACCACTCCCCTGCCCCAGAAGTCTAAGACAGTCCATGGTAGTCCTGTTTCTGGTTCCACAATGTTAACTCAGTGTGGGTCTATGACCAAAGATAGCCCAATCAAGGAAAAATAGAGAACTCTTGTTTCATGGATTGAGGTAATGCATTGAAGAATTGTAGTGCCTATGGTTACAGGACCACTTAGAGGAAATCTATCCAAAAGAATAAAGCCATCACTCAGAGGACAGAGTCAAAAAAAAAACAGAAGAAATTGATCAAACCACAAGTAAAAACTACTCTTGGACTTCTCTTATTAGTTGGTGGGCTAATGAATTTTCTTTATTAGGTCAGTCTATACCAAAATCTTCCTAAGTTTGGATACTTTGGTCCAATTTTTGCTCCCATCTCCCCATCCATGTTACTATTGTTGAGATCATCCATGACCTATCACTGAATTAGTGAATTGATTTTCCCATTCTTCTTTCTCTACTAGCCCTTAAACAATAGAGTTTTTTCAGCAGATATACTCACACCCATGAAGTGACATATGTAACAGACATATATAATTATGGTATTTCTTTTAAAAAGTGAAATATTGGAAACAAACTCAAATGTGCATGAATAAGGGATTGTTAGATTATGAATTCATATGTTGGGTTACTATGTAGCTATTTGATAGAATGAGGCAGCTCTCTTTCATTGGTATAGAATGGTCTCCAAGATGTGGCACGTGTGGAGTAGGATGCTCCCCTTAGGGTAAAACATTTAGAGGCTTAATAGAAATGCTTATTAATGCATAGCATAGATGAAAGATTACCTAAGAGATGAGTAGTGTTGCTTGCCTCTGGGAAAGAGAACTGGGTGTCTGAGATGGGATGAGGGGAGAAAAACTTTAAACTAGTCAAAGTAATGCTTCCTTCCTTCTGGGCTTTGGGGCATTTGAATGTATTTCCAATTCAAAAAAGCATCAAATACTTAAAATATAGAAACGCCACTCCCTCCCTTTAAAAAAAAACACTCATTGTAATGGTGATCAGTTCTCTCTACAATATGTTTCTTATTCTCCTCCCAGGCATGTGACAGGATATTGTTTTCTCGTCTTTGGCATTAGATGAGGCAATGTAATTTTCTTTGGCCAATGAAAGTGGATAGAATGATTTTTGTTCTATCTACCCAGGGCTTTAGGAGTCAGTGTGAAATTTACCATAACTCTTTTCCTCGGCCACAGTCAATGTGCAGAGCACAAAATGGTGGCTCTTCCATCTGCCTAGGTCTTGAAGAGAGGACAACTTGGAGTAGACACCTCAGTGGAATATAGTGATGGGCTATTAGTTGTAAACCACTGCAGTTTGGGGACTGTTCATGACCACAGCCTCCCCTGGCCTAGCCTGAGTGCCACTTCATTTTACAAGGGTCATTCCTGAGCCATCTTCTTTTCTCTCTGCAATCTTCCCACATAAGCTTATCTGTTGCCGTAACTTGCCTGATGCTGCCAAACTCCTGCAGTTTTACTTACTTTGTTTTGAACTCGATTCCCTTCCTAATAGCCTATTGATACCTTTTCTTGGTTATCCTACAGGAATGTCTATGTTTTGGAAATAGGATGATTCCTACTGACTTTTAACTTTCTCCCACAAAATTGCTTTTCTTCCTGCCTTCCCCTAACTCTGTTGAAGCTGCTGCCATCCAGAGTATTAAGACATCTAGGAGTTATTCTTAATACCTTCCTTTCTCCCAGAATTCTTTATCTAGTCTGTCATTACATTTGATTGATGTTAAAATCGATCTCAAATCCAGTCATCTCAGTCTCTCTGGAGGCCCCCATCCTTGCCACCATTTCCTGTCATCTGTGATGTCCCCTAGCCTGTGTTCCAATTAATCCTTGCTTTGTTTTAATTCTCTTCAGCTAGAGTAATCATTCAAAATATATAATGTCATTTCTCTGTTTAAGAATCCTTCAACAAATTCACAATGCACCAAAAATAAAATACAGCTGTTTACTATATCTGAAAAATCCCATCTGATTTGATTCTGCCTACCTGTTTAATATCATCTTATTTCACATCTATCCTCCAGCACTCTAATCAGGTACTCATCTTATCTCAAGTCCTTGAACATACCAAGGTTTTGTATTTACCACTGGGCTACAACAGCATATTTTGCATTTTCTTTTCTCAGAATAGTTATCTCCTCCTACCCCTGTCTTCCTACCTGGATAATTGAATTTAGATTCTTGTATTTTTTTTTTTCATTATTGTCCCGGAGAGACTTTCTCCAAGCACCAAACTTTAGCAGGTAACCCCTTCTCCAACATTATCTCCTTTACCACATAACCATTTCTCTAATGATATCTTTATAATTTGTAGTTATATATTAATATGTGCTCTTTTGTTTGGTTTCTGTCTCCCACTAGGCAACACTCAATAAGACTGGATTAAATGTATTTTCCTCATTGTTCTATATTTTGCATCTATGACAGTGTCTTGCATTTAAGTGAGTCAATAAAAGAGTGAACAAGTTTCTACAGAGTACCTGGTATGGTGTAAGGCATATAGATTAGTGGTGTTAAGTCTGTCTTATAATTGACATGTGTACTCAAAATCTTATCACCCAGGAACTTCCAGGTATAAAAGAGGAACAAGATAGTATTCTAATGAGAGAGTGAAGATGGCATGAGAAATTTGATTTCTAAGGCAGAAATGGAATGCCATTGAAAAAATTAAAACAAGAGGTGGCTGGACTCCAAACTAGTTTTGTTTCCCCATCTGTAAATTTATTATGTGGAGTCAATGATATGCCAGTTTCACAGGTTCCAATATTCTAGAATTGTATTTCTCAATTTTGCTCAGAACCAGTCCTACAGGACAACTGTTGATCTACCTCTTTGCTACCTTGGGTATGTTAGGAACACTTACAGTGTCTGTGAAGTAGTAATAAAGATCCTGTTGGTACAGAAAATAGGGCACATGACAGCCGTATGACCCACCTATAGAACATAAGATTCTACTACACCTACTGGCAGAGAATCTGTCAAATGCTCAGGCCCCAGTGGTCAGTGTGTTGAACATGAATTGCTCTGGAAAGTAGGGACCAGGAGAAAAATACAAATATTTATTAAATAATTAATAAAATACCCATGGAGATGCATCCTCTTGTCTACTGCATGTGAGTATTTCTCACTTCTATTTAGGGTATTCAAATGCTCCGGGATACATGAAGATGTCTGCAAGTCTTCTCGTCTTCTTCAGCCACAGCGCAGGCAGAAGTGATTGATCATTTTGATTCATATTAAATTAAGTGACTATTCATATTAAACTAAATGACTATTGATAGTAAATTAAGTGACTCTTAGATTCATTTCAAACGCCCATGCGCATCTTCTCTCAGTCTCGCCTAACAATGTAACCAGCTGTTACTCTTCAATATATGTGCCACCATCCTAGCATTAGGGCCAGACTCAAACTGTGATGACCCATCATCTCAATGATCCTTACCAAAAAAGTGTGAAGTGCAACACTTGAGGACAAAACTGAAAAGGAGGAATATTTTGGAATTTTCCCAAGGTAAAAGTAACATCTCTGGTGAAAGATGAAGGGAGGGCTCCATCTCAACTGTCTCCAAAGCCAGTGTCCTATGACAGTAGTCCCCAACCTTTTTGGCATCAGGAACTGGTTTCATGGAAGATCGTTTTTCCATGGATGGTGGGAGAGGGGGGATAATCATCAGGCATTAGATTCTCATAAGGAGTGCACAACCTCGATCCCTCACATGTGTAGTTCTCAGTAGGGTTCGTGCTCCTATGAGAATCTAATGCCGCCACTGATCTGACAGAAGGCCACATGCTGCTCACCACCTGCTGTCTGGCCACATGCTGCTCACCACCTGTTGTGTGGCCAGTTCCTAACAAGTCACAGGCTGGCACTGGTCCACAACCCAGGGGTTGGGAACCCCCCCTAAAACATTAGACTGTATTGCTCTAAATAGATTAAAATTCTACAATATTTTAAAATTTTAGCTTATTTTTCCTTCTTCCCAACCTCTCCTCCCTTATTATGTCCTAAATTACAGCCTGGGAGACAATTGGACACAAGAGAATCAGACCAATGATAAATGCATCAGAGGTTCATTTCTTGCTTTGAATACAATGGTAACATCATTTTCATAACAAGATCATCAGTCTCATGAGCACTGTGATTTTGAAACCTGGACAGCTCCCTCCAAAATTCCTTCAGAGTCATCATGCACAAGTTTTGTTTCCCATCTACCCATTACTAGGAATCAAATTTTATCTATGTTGAGTATATGAGAGGCCTACTGTTTATTTATGAATGACTAGTGTAGACAATTGCAGACTGCAGCAGATGTCTAGACAAGACTTTTGGGGATGGAATAAGAGAGGGTGGGAAGAAGAGAGTGCCAATCAGCTATTAGCTAGCCTAGCTCACATTGGTTGCATTTTTTTTTTTGAGTTGGAGTCTCACTTTGTTGCCTAGGTTGGAGTGCAGTGGCACACTCACAGTCACCCCAGCATCAACCTGCTGGGCTCCAGCTATCCTTCTGCCTCAGCCTTCCAAGTAACTGGAACTTCAGTTTCATGCTACCATGCCCAGCTACTTTTTGATTTATTGTAGAGACGAGGTCTTGCCGAGTTACCTGGGTTGATCTCAAACCCATGGGCTCAGGCAATCCACTTGCCTTGGCCTCCCAAAGTGCTGGGATTACAGGCTGAGCCATCGAACCCAGACTGGTTGCATTTTTTATACCAACACAGTGGCCTGAAAGGTGATGGCTTTAGGAAAAAACAAATTTTAAAACCACTTTGCATAAATCGGAGTTAAAGTTTTCAGGAGCTTGGAGTGAAAAAGATATAACACTGAAATGATTTGAAAACTGTTTTGATTCTTCACTTCATTTTGAAACCATAAAATGCCCAGAAGGGCTCCCCGACAATGAAATGAGGTTCTTCTTACCAAATGCCCGTAACACAGCATCGACCTTTGCTCAACTCCTGGAAAGTCATCAGCTATTAGTCTGGGGAAGCCTTGTTCTATGAACTGGCTATTTTCATCAAATCTGCACCAAGGGAAAGAATTACAGCTAAATATTGTGTAGAGGCACCATTGCACAGAACAGAATAGTGTGAGGTTAATTTTCCAGTGTGGAATTTGAGATAAACTTTTTAAGTTGTGAAAAAGTCAAACATTTTTTGGACTACAGTAATACATAGATTTCCTGGGCTAACAAGTTTAACACATACAACAATATTTCCCCCCAAACAGGGCCATTTTACCATTTTACAGAGGTTCCACAGACATGTCTGAGGTCAATTTTCTAAGACTGGACACATAGAACCCAAGGACCTTTCTGTCACAAATTCATAAAGACTGTATATACGTAATATGAAAAGTGAATTAAGTCATTTGGTTAAAAGAACCCTCTGGTTCTCAATCACACTGGAACCGCAGCGGACCTCTTCTCTCCAGCCCTCTCCACCTGGGTTTCCTATGGCAGTGACATAATGACTGGCAGCAGCATGAGAAGTGAATGTGCCTTCGACTTCAACTGGCCTCTCGTGACATCTTTTGGTGTCTGGGTATGTGGCCCAGTGGGCATCATTCTGAGAGCCCTTTGGATCTGGGAAGTAGAACAATGATAAGCTTTTGCTATAAACGATTACTTCCTCATAATAAAATAGTTTGAAGCTAGAGGGTAGAAGTGGGAGATTTCCTTAAAGAAAGAAAATGATTTTCTTAATTGGGCTCTACACAGAGTCATTCCTGTTGTGTCTCACGTCCAGTATTTGTCTTCTACAGAGAAGCATGTTTTCTTATTTTCCTTCTCAGAAACAGCTGCATCAATTTTCCTAACGGTCGGAGGGAAACCCAGAGTGTGGATGCCTCTGGGGTAACCTTCTTGTATCTCATTTCCTCTGGTTGCCCACAACTTATTTCCTATTGAAAAATAAGCCCTGGTACTTCTGAGTGAAACCATGGGTTGGAAATGATTATAGTGCTTTGTTGTGGTAAGGAGGAAGTCTTGGTTTTAATTCTAACTATTAGTCTAATGCCCAGTACACAGCTGGAATTTAATATTCCCTGGATGAATGAATGAACAGATACATGAGTAGATAACTCTGGTTCACTGCCCTTCCTGTGCCTTATATTTATTATCTATAAATTATAGTGGCCAGTTTTAGTTATTTCTTATAATTGCTGGTGACTTCTTAATCTAAATTTGTAACTTAGACCACTCTCAAGCTTCATGTGAATAGGTCAGTTGCTAATTGGACACTTTCTCTTAGATATCTCCCAGTCAACAAGCCCAACCTGTGCTTCTTCTGAATACTATAGGAATCCACTCAAATTCGAGTAAATTAGGACAATGGATTCCTGTTACTCTCTCTGCTTTTACTTTCTCTCACCACGCCCTGCTAAGCCCAAGCCTGAATCCCTTCCTGATGCCACTGTTAGATCAACTAACCTGGAATGTCAATCATTTGGGTGCCTCTCTGACTTCATCCAAACTGAATAACTTGTATCTGTCTGAGCAGTTCCTGATATGCTCTTACTTGGTGAAAACAGTTTCTTAAAGACCTTTCCCTGCCGGGCACGGTGGCTCAAGCCTGTGATCCCAGCTCTTTCGGAGGCAGAAGTAAGAAGATTGCCTGAGCTCAGGGGTTCGAGACCAGCCTGAGCAACATGGCAAGACCTCATTTCAATAATAAATCAAAAAATTAGCCGGGCATGGTGGCACATGCCTGTGGTTACAGCTAATTGGAAGACTGTGGCGGGAGGATTGCCTGAACCCAGCAGGTCAAGGCTGGAGTGCATGTGGCTGTGAGCATGCCATGGCACTCCAGCTTGGGCATCAAAGCATGCCACTGCACTCCAGCTTGGGCATCCAACTCAAAAACAACAACAACAACAAACAGATCTTTCCCCTTTCTATATGTCTAGCTTATGTCTACACAGCAAAGAAGAACTTTGAGACTCATCTTAAACATGACCTCCTCTTGGGGTCTTTGCTGAGCCCTGGGCAGGGGCCAGGTGCTCCCAGGGTGCCCGTCTTTCTTTTAATCCCAGCACTTGTCATATGGTTTGCTACTGATGGCTTCATTTCCGCTGCCCCCTCTAGAGGATGAGCTCCTTTCAGGGCTGAGCTTAACTAACGACACAGTGTCTAGCACACTGCAAGTGATAAATAAATCTTAGACAAATGAATGGATCATAGTAATCCTTTAGAATAATATAACCCTCTATAATTTCTGATGCCATTTCATATTCTTTCACTTAGTCTTCACAGAAATAAAATAGTCAGCAATAGATTTTTTTTAGCACAAGATATTTTAAAAATTTCCCACACAGGTTGATATTTTAAGGCTGTTTCGATATCATAAATAAGCTATGAGTGTAGGGAAAAAATAAAATTGTGAAATAAAAAAATTAAAAAAGAAAATGCTGCATATCAAATTTGTGGGATACAGGGGAAAAGGGATAGTTATAGGCATAAATGCTTGTATAAGGTAAGTATCAAACTTAAATTATAAAAATAATAGAGTAAATTCAAAGAAAACAAAAACTAAGGCAACAATAAGGCTATGGACAGAGACTAAGTACATGGGAAATCAAAAAAGAAAATAAAGGCAAAAGCCAGTTCTCTGAAAACCTCTGTAAAATTATTAAGTATATCATGCAATTGATGAAGAAAAAAGAGAAAGGAAAAAAGATTCAATATTAGGAACAAAAAATGAGAACAAAACTTAAGTGATAATTTAAATGACAGTGAAGTAATACTCTAAAAACTTTGTACTGGTTGATTGCAGACTGAAAAAATTGGCAAATTTCTAGAAAAATGCTACCAAAACTGACTCAAGAAGTAATGGAAGTTTAAGTAGCATATTGCCAATAAAACAAATTGAAGCCGTTGTTTAAAAATCGGACAGAGGTAGTTCCAGTTACTCGGAAGGCTGAGGCGGAAGGATTGCCAGAGCCCAGCAGGTCGAGGCGGCGGTGGCCGGGAGCGTGCCACTGCCCTCCAGCCTGGGTGACAGAGTGAGACTCCAACTCAAAAAAAAATAAAAAAAATCGGACAGAGGAGCCCCCAGGCTTGAATAGCTCCACGAGCTAACTTACCTACCCCCGTACTGATGCCACGACATCTAGCCTACAAAAGCTTTATGACACAGGGCTTTTCTCCTGGCCATATCGTTCTTAAGAGGTATCCTGGCTATTCTTGGTCTTTTTTCTTCCATATAAATTATAGAACTAAGTTGTCAAGTTCCATAAAAAATATTTTGGCATAATTGAAAAATGTCTTGCATCTACAGATAAATGGATGTTTTTACAATGCTGAATTATTTACCCATAAGTATGAAATATTATCTATTTAAACTTAAGAGGTCTCATTGAAAGTTTTAAAATAAAACTTACCAGTTTCTTTGTACACACTTATTTAAGCATTAGCATTAGGTCTTGTAGTAATATATCATCTAAAATTTAACATAACGGAGAAAACTTATGTCAATGAATTTTTTTGCAACAGGATTTATTCCAACAAGTTAAAAATTCTATATAGTACTTACTTTTAAAAATAAAAACGGTATCCTTGCTATTAGCTTTATACGCAGCATCCAAATCTGATGGAAGAGAGGCCCAAAATGCAGAAATCAAATGAACCTCCTCAGGGGTCCAATGGAATCCGCGCCGAAAATATCTGCAATGCATGAAATTATTTGTAATTATCTGTCTCCTTTAGATGCACGAATAAAGGAACATATTCGTCTTTTCTTTTCATCAGTATGAAAAAATTCACTCATTTGCAGACATCTGCACTGAACTGTCCCTCTGCATGTGATTCCACAGTAATGAAATTTATGACTTGATATGTGACCAGTTGCAATATAATAATTTAGCTTGGTTCCACTGTAAAACCATAAACAGTGTGCATATTATGTGCTGACAATTAAAAAAAATACCATGTGCCTATTTATGCTTGTGTATGAATAGAACATAATTGTAAAGAGTCAAAGCAAATCATCTCTGAAGATTGCATATATAGTTGCACATTGGAAGGAACTAGGGACTGTAGGTGAGTATTCTCAGTACTGCTTGAATATTGTGCAATAAGCATATGACTTTTTTTTTTAATAAAATGAATTAAATAGTAGCATTTGTTAGCTCTGCCAGTGCTCTCTGAAGAAGTTCTCTGATTTGTGATATTGAAAAAGTGAGCAAAACAGATAAAACCCCTTGCCTTCATCACACGTACGTTCTAGTGACAGGAATCATCCTTTGTAAGCCTGTAAAAAAAAACAAAAAACGATCTGGACAGTTCTAAGGAGATGTTAAAAATGCAACAAGATCAGCACTTTGGGAGACCAAGGCGAGAGGATTGCCTGAGCTCAGGGGTTCGATACCAGCCTCATCAACACGGCGAGACCTCCTCTCTACGATAAATAAAAAAATAAGCTGGGTGTGGTAGCGCACGCCTGTGGTTCCAGCTACTAGGAAGGCTGAGACAGAAGGATCGCCTGAACCCAGCAAGTCAAGGCCGCGATGGCCCTGAGTGTGCCACTGCATTCCAGCCTGGGCAACACAGTGAGACTCCAACTCAAAAATAAAAAATAAAAAAGCAACAAGAACCAGATCTGAATGATTTTTAAATGTAGACAAAATATTTCATTTCAAAATCTCTGTCGAGTTTCTGTTTTCCATTTTAAGTGTCATAGATTCAAACAAAAGATAGAAAAATATGATTTGCCAGTGTGACCTGTCTTTAAAGAACAGGTCTTCTCCCCTCAGCGTGGTGACAGCATCAATGGGCAAAGCAGGATCACACATGGCTGGTGTCTCAGGTCCTGGAGGGACAGACTCCGTGGGCACCCGGGGGTCCTCAGGGGAGGCAGGGGGCAGTCCTAAAGGGAACAGACTTGGGGATGCAAACATTAGGAGAAATGTGATGCGGCTGTCATTGTCCCTGCTTCCCTACATTCTCAAGGTGCTTTGAGATGAAACATGTCGCATTGTAAAGCCTTCCTAGAGACCGTCACGGCAAAGCCTTCCTAGTGAACATCGCAAAGAGTAAGCGTTGTTTTCCTCATTGCTCACTGTAGCAGGACTGAATGCCATCCACGTCATCTTGAGAAAGGCGGAACTGAGACAGGTCCGTGAAGGAGTTGAAGAGTGGGTACACTAAAACTTTCGTGTTGGTCGAGTGAAACAGACCCAGGGAGTGGCCAAGTTCATGAGTAGCAATGAGGAATAAATTAGTCCCTATTTGAAAAACCATAAATATCCAGAATCTAATAGGTACGTATTCCATAAATACATATACAGAACATACACCGGCTATACAGGCCATCCTGGGAATTATAGTGTCTATTCCTCATTTATGGATTGGTTCATTGACTGGTGTCTTCCATATCTCTTAGGAATTCCTGTGTTTTCCAAGGTTGATTTGAAGTCAATATATAAGACAGTTTTTTTACTATATCTCTTCCCAGTTCCCTCTGGTCAGGAAAACTAGTTCATTTCTCCTATATTGACAATGATAAGTATTGTTTTCAAAAGATATTTCTTTGGAGGAACCAAGACTAATAACATGTAAATAAATATAACTCTTCATTGTCTAAAAATTTAAAAAGTTAGTCATTGTTCATATTTAATAACATGTGCCAATTGCAACCTCAATTGAAATTAATCAGACTATTTCCATTATTCCTCAAACTCTCAAGCCACAATACTCTGGTTATTTCCTTTGAGTTTGGTCTGATTTGTTCTTCTTTCTTTTTATCACAGTCAAATAAAATTTGACAACCAGTCAAAAATCTTTCCAGTAGCAGGTATCATTGGATACACATAGTCCACAGTTTAAAACAGAAACATGCTCAATAATGGTTTCCTGCAGCACTTACACAGTAGGGTTTAGCTTTTCTTTCTATTATGAAAAGTGCTATTGAATTTAGTAGTAGAAATTATTTAGCCAGGACTCTAAGCAATTATGCAGAAAAGAATAGGTTTTCAAGTAAAATATCATTTTATACATCACTAACATCAGGTTTGCACTCAGTAGAGATGCTCTCTGCATTTACATTAAAGATCACAACCAATCTGAGAAACAGTGATTTTTTTCAACCATGTGTTTCCGAACTTCAGAAACCATTCAAAAAATAAATAGACTGAAGTTAATTTTAGTCATTTCGTTTAAACTTAAAGTCTTTAAGAACCAATATAGAAAAAAAATACAGCTTCTAAGATAGAGACAATGACATGTTTATTTAGATGATGCCCTAGCAATTTTTTTTTTTGTTTGTTTGTTTCTGGCATTTTCTCCTGATTTCTACTTTTTAGAGAAAAGTAAGAGACTTTGAGAGGTAAATGAAAAGAAAGGGAGGAACCTAAGGGCAAATGTTAGGGTTAAAACTGATTCAATGGAATCCATTCTGTCTTAATCATCTATAGTTAAAGTGATTAAAAACGTTATGATTCTCACATCTGCACCAGATCTGAATTGTGGACTTAAGAATAGATGCTTCTTGCTAAATTGTACTTTCGTAGGGCAAACAAAGATGCATACTTTTTATACAATTCTTCAATAATGATTGAAATTAAGAGTATTTCTGTTGGGACAACCTCTTTCAGGTACCCTCCTGGTGTGGGAGCATTTCTGTATTCAATAAATCTTGCTTTCTCGGAAAAAAAAAAGGAAAGAAAAAAGAAAAAAAAGAATACTTCTGTTTACCACTCATAATTTTTTTTTTTTTTACTCTGCCACCCAGGATGGAGGGCAGGGGTACACTGCCAGCCACAGCAGCCTCAACTGCTGGGCTCAGGTGATCCTTCCGCCTCAGTCTTCCAAGTAGCTGGAACTACAGGCATGTACCACCATGCCTGGATAATTCTTTGATTTACTGTAGAGATGATGTCTCACCAAGTTCCCCAGGCTGGTTTCAAACCTGTGGGCTCAGGCGATCGTCTCACCTCAGCCTCCCAAAGTGCTGGAATTATAGGTGTGAGCCACTGCACCCGGCCACCACTCATAATTTAAAATTTTAGTTATCAGTATATTTCATTAACAGCTCTTCCGGTTAAAGATAAAATTAAAAAGTTTAAAGATAAAATTAAAAAAATTAGTTATTAGCATATTCCATTAACTGCTCTTTCTGTCAAAGATAATCCAGTTATTCTTATGTAGGCTTAAACATTATTCCTGAAACCATCCTAAGAGGCTTATCACCCACCTGGTGCATCCTTTGTCCATTTTGTCATGATCAAAGTGAACGTCTCCATAAAACCCAGGTCCAGGTGGATAGGCACGCACCAAACTGTACTCTGGTCCCTCAAAAGAGAAAAAGTCTCTCTGTTCTGACAGGGAAAAAAATAATAGAAATATTAGTACTCAGAATTACTTTTTACCCTTTTCAATGAGACAGCACCAGATTCTATGGACTGAATGTTGGTGCTCTCCTAAAATTTGTGTGTTGAAACCTAATACCCAAGGTGATATTATGAGGTGGGGTATATAGACAATGATTAGGGCCTAAGCACTCTACCTTCATGGATAGGATCAGTGCCCTTATAAGAGGCTGGAGGGAGCCCCTTGTCCCTTTCTGCCTGTGAGGACACAGAAGGCACCATTTATGAGGAACAGCCTGTCACCAGATACCGAATTGCTGGTACCAGGTCTTGTATTTCCCAGCCTCCAGAATTGTAAGCAATAAGTGTCTGTGGCTTATAAATTATCCAGTCTAAGGTATTATGTTATAGCTGCCCAAACAGACTAATACATCAGCTACATGAATGTTTTATTTATTTATTCTTTTTCCCACCAACTGCAAAAGAGATCTTTATGTCAGCCGCTCCTTCATACAGCCTGGGGAATGTGAGCGGCATCACCTCTGAAGGACTTTCAGAGCATTCTCGATGGCGGAATCAACAGCATTTCTTGGCAAATCCGGTGTATAATTCACAATCTTGTGGGAGAAAAAAATGGAGGAGATATGGTTTTCTCCTGTGATACAGCTGATAAGAATCCAATGATGTGAAAACCTCTTTGGGCCCATTACTTGTAGGTGAGGTGGTTTCTCCTCCACTTTGGCATCCCAGGAAAGGTGCCAAAGTAACCAACGTCAAGAACCCCACACCTGGGCTTGTGCATCACCTCCAGAGTGTTGGAGTCCCCATCACCTCCAGCCCAAGGAGCTTCTGCATTTCTCAAATTTTTTGGACAACAGCACCACTGTCCTTTCTTCCAACAGATTTTTTTCACGTCTTTTGCGAAGTCGTAGTAGTTTTCTAGGTACTGCTGATGAAATAATAAACAATTTTTAGGTCATTTTAATAATTTTTAGCCATTATCCAAATTTTATAATCTATCTTAATTTTTGTCTAGTTAAAAATCTTTGCTACAAAAAGGAGTTATCACATTCAATTTGATTTTTCATTAAGACTTCCCATTTCATTATTTGTTCTTCATTTTTTTTTTCTTTTTTTCCGAGTTGGAGTCTCACTCTGTCATTCAGACTGGAGTGCAGTGGCCACTCCTGGCCACCGCAGCCTTGACCTGCTGGGCTCCGGCGATCCTTCCGCTCAGCCTTCCAAGTAGCTGGAACTACAGGTGCACGCTACCACACCCGGCTGATTTTTTGACTTATTGTAGAGATGAGGTCTCGCCAAGTTGCCCAGGTGGATCTCGAACCCGTGGGCTCAGGCAATCCACTCACCTCAGCCTCCCAAAGTGTGGGATGACAGGCTGAGCCACTGAGCCCGGCCTTTTTTCTTCATTTTAAAATTTTATTACAGTTTAGCTTTCTAGCCAAGGAATTTTGTTGAAAATTCAGGTCTTTTTTTTTTTTCCACTTTATATTAAGATCAAACATGACACGTAACAATAGGAGCACTATTACCCGATGCTATTTGAAGATCAAACTTAGTATGTTCCCTCTCCCAATTTGTATATTAATCAAAGAAACGCTAAAGACAGAGAAGTTTCATATCTTTTCCGTGTGTTTCTTTCATCGAGCCACAAGGCTGCTGCTTCTATTTTACATAACCTTCTTTCTTTCTCTGTAAAAACACGGAGAACTTCCACCTCCAGCACTTTAAAGTCCCTTCCGATCAAGTCAGCCTGCTTTGTGTTAAAGACCAAGTTGGCACACTTGGGAGGCTGGTGGCTGCAACAGATGCCGCCATCGATTACCAGGGCAAGATCTGTGTTGGGGTCCACTTCTTCCTTCGCTTCCTTCCTTCAGTGGATAAGCCAAGCAGACCGGCAGACACAACAGTGCAAGAATGCCAAGATGCTTCATTCTCACTGTCTCTACCTTCTCTGTCCACTGGCTTCTAGCTCTATGCTTTAGCTAGAGTTCCCTTTTATAGAGAAGACAATGCTAAGATCACCAACAGCATGATTCATGCATGTGTTTTTAACATCTGAATGGCAGCAGGAATTCTCAGGGGAAAAAAATATTGCAAAGATGATACAGCCTACGTCGGTGATTTCCTTCAAAGTTATAAACTTGAAAGAATTATTAATCCCCAGGAAATGGTTTCTGTGTTTGTAAAAGGGAGAAGGAATTGGCTGGATAAGTTATGCCTGTGTATTTACTGAAGAGAGCGCTGACAAACTTGGTAAAATGTCAAATGCTTAGACGTTTTAAAATCAGTGCAGTTTTCTTTTAAAAAGACTATATTTTAAACTCAAGGGTGGGCACGGTGGCTCAGCACCTTGGGAGTCTGCGGTGGAAGGATTGCTCGAATCCAGTAGCTCGAGACCAGCCTGGGTAACATAGCAAGACCTTATCTCTACAAAATATCAGAAAATTAGCTGGTGTAGTGGCACACATATGTAGTCCCAGCTACTCGGGGGGCTGAAGCAGAAGGATCACTTGATCCCATGAGGTCAAGCTGTGGTGAACTGTGATCTGTGCTATTACTGCACTCTAGCCCGGGTGACCCACTGAGACCCTGACTCAAACATAAATAAATACATACATACATAAATACAAAACTTCAAATACAAGCAGGTAAGGAATAAGTAGATTAGGGAAATAAATTTCAAATACAATTGTGGTCTAAATGTGGGAATTGTGACCTAAGAAGACATTAGAACCGATATTTTATTTCTCGAGTTCTTGTTTGCAACAGCTACTACTGACGTTCAGATGCATTCGCTGATCCTGGCGCAGGGCATTGTGGGAAGGGAGTGGACCCCAGACAGGAGACTGTGCAGGAAAAGAAGCCAAGGGCCAACCTTGGTGTTCACTCTTTTCCAGTTCAGAGTGGGTGGTAAGTTCATGGTCACTGCTCCATAAACACCTGCTAAATCTAATGAACTAGATTGTATATTAGACTGAAACGGTTCTACATTCCTACCCTTCTTTGCTTTAAAGAATTTTCTCAGCCTTTTTTCCTCCTCCAAAGTACAAAGGAGAAGCTGGATTGAGATTTGTAACAGGTAATGACTTCAAATTCTCCCTTGCCTTCGTATATCTAACCACCCACCCCTACCCACGAATAGCATTTTCTTTCTTTGTTTTTCTCAGCAAAATTGAGCGCTTTTCACACAGTAATACAGTTAAGTCTACAATAACTGTTTTGGCAAATTAACCTATGGATATAAAGAACTCTGAAATTCCTTCAGTAAAAAAAAAATATCTTTCCTTCACTAAAGGGAAATGAACTCTACTGTGTCTGAAGTAGATAATTTTTTAAAAATGGGAGATTAAGTTATTGTGTGTAGAAATGATCTTTTCAGTATCACTCACCATCTCCACCCTATTTGAGGGGGACTTCCAGGAGCCAGGAGGCTCTGAGACCTCCAAACTAGAGTTGAGGAGAAACTTGGACATGTACTGAGCCCACCAAGTCAACTTGAGGTTTACTGTAGCCCAGGCATTTTCTCTGCAACATGGTGGACATCAGCTTGACAATCAGAGGGAGAGGAGACAACAACCAGACTCAGAAGAGTCCAGCTGGGCTTTGAGCAAGTACAGTCATGAGCTGTAGCAGGACATTTTGTTCAACAAAGGACCACATGTACTACTGTGGCTCTATAGAATTACAATAGAGCTGAAAAGTTTCTAACACCTAATGTCAATTGTAGCATTGTAACACAACACGTTCCCCACGTGTTTGTGGAGATGTTGGTGTAAACAGATCTTCTATCCTGCCAGTCATATAAAAGTCTAGCCTAGGCTGGGCTGGGTGGCTCAAGGCTGTCATCCCAGCACTTTGGGAGGCCGAGGTGAGAGAACTGCCTGAGCTTAGGGGTTCGAAACCAGTCCGGGCAATTTGGTGAGACCTCATCTCTACAATAAAATCAAAAATTAGCCAGGTGTGGTAGTTCTGACTACTTGGAAGACTGGGGCAGAAGGATCACCAGAGCCCAGCAGGTTGATGCTGCGGTGGCCATGAGTATGCCACTGCACTCCAGCCTGGGCGACAGAGTGAGACTCCAACTCAAAAAACAACAAAAAAAGTCTAGCATACATAGTTAGCAGGCTATACTTGATAATGGTAATAAATGATCACATTACTGGTTTATGTATTTATCATACATTATATTATTTGAGACAGTATTCCTTCTCCTTATTAAAAAACAAAGTTAACGATAAAACACCCTCAGGTAGGTACCTTGGGAAGTATTCCAGAAGGCGTTGTCATCAAAGGAGATGACCGCTCCCTGCGTGTTATTGCCCCTGAAGAAACTTCCAGTGGGACAAGATGTGGAGGTGGGAGGCCTGTGTAGGCCTAGGCTAATGCGTGTGCTTGTGTCTTCGTTTCTAACAAAAAAATTTTACAAGTACAAAAATAAAAGCAAAAAATTTTGAAAGTAGAGTAAAGCTTATAGATGAAGGACATACAGAAAGAAAATTTATTTTACGACTGTAGAATATTCGTTTTAACCTGTGCTATTACAAACAAGACCAAAAGTTTTAAAAATTCTCTGAACTGATAAAGCTACAGCAAGCTAAGGTCAATTTGTGATTGAAGAAATAAAAGTACTTTTATAAATGCAGTATGGCCTTAGTGATGTACCGTGATGACCTTGGCCTTCCCAGCCACTCACTGACACTCACTGACTTACTCGGAGCCACTTTCTGTCCTCCAAGCTCCATTCAACGTAAGTGCCCCATGCATGTGTATTTTTTAATTTTTGAGTTGGAGTCTCACTCTGTCACTCAGACTGGAGTGCAGTGACCGCTCCCGACCACCGCAGCCTCGACCTGCTGGGCTCCGGCGATCCTTCCGCCTCAGCCTTCCAAGTAGCTGGAACTACAGACGTGCACTACCACGCCCAGCTAATTTTTGGTTTTATTGTAGAGATGAGGTCTTGCCAAGTTGCCCAGGTGGGTCTCGAACCTGCGGGCTCAGGCAATCTACTCGCTTCAGCCTCCCAAAGCGCTGGGATGACAGGCTGAGCCACTGAGCCCGGCTGCATGTGTATTTTTAAAGATCTCTTACACTGTATTTTTACGGTACTTTTTCTACATTTAGATATATTTAGATGCACACTTGTTGGGAGCCAGCCTTGGAGGTCCACATGATTGACAGGGTCCCGGTGGGCCGAAGACCCCAGGCCGCAGGGCGAGCCCGGGAAGCTGAGGCCCTTCTGTCTTCCAACTTTGCTGTTTGGTATGGCTGAAGAAATTCTGTGCAGTCGTGGAAGAAGAAAATGGCATGTTTATGCGAAGTACTCACACCTAACCTGAGAATGTCATGGTTCATTTTCCCATTTTTCCCACTATGCCGCTTGGCCGTTTCTAACATATGCAAGGGTTAAACTCTGAAGCACATCAAGAATGCTTTCTTTCACTTGGTTATAAGTTACTAGATATTGCTTGAGTAAAAAATGATATAAGTATATTCACTCCTTATTTGATTTAGAATTATGCAGCTTAGTGTTCAGATATAAGGTTTTTTAGAAGCACAAGTTTATGGTAAGTTCATTATGAGCTCATTATAAGTTCTAACACTTATCTAGGAGTTATGTAGGTGATTTACAACACTGTCTTCATAGACTTAGGATAAAGATTAATCGTTAAGGTTTTTACTTAATTCTATAGTTAAATTTTAAGTGAACGTTTATAGAGTGGGTTTTTACTGAATTCATAATATACTAATTAGATACTTTTATTATAATTAACTAAATACAGAAAGCAACCTTGGGGGCCTGGGAAATGTCATTAAACGCTTCTTTTGAGTTTCCTTTAGAAATAAACACTTCAGGATAAGAGAAAAGTAACGAAGACACCTGGACAAGAAAGGCGATTACAAAAGCTTTGAAGGTCGTAAAAGCCCAAAAGAGAACTGCTACACGAAGGACCATGCACCTGGGAACTTTCTTGAAACACTTCAAGGACTGTAATGTGGGACTCTTTTGAAGAGAGTTGCTAGCAGTGCTGTTCTTGACATGATAATTGTTTTATCCATGTATTAATCATAATTGGTAAATGTAATATCATATAAGTTTATATAATCAATATACATATGTATGAGGGTTGACAAAAATTATGAGGCTCTGGTTATGTTTAACAAGGTTTTTACTTTGTGTCATTAATTAAGTTTTAGGGCTATAGCTACTTTGAAGATTGTTTTAAGTTCCTAAGTTTAAGTTCACACAATGATAAAATTGGTGCCTCAAAGATAATAATAATTGCCCCACTGCCTATCTTAAGACAAAGATGTTTTCCAGGAGGTTGCCAAGCATAAGGGAAAACAGCCAAATCACCATTATCCTAAACTTAAAAGCTCATTGGCAATTATGCAACCATAATAATTTTAGTTGTGTTAGTTTTATTTCATTATGTTTAATTCACTTTATATGTTTATTCAGAGTAAAGATTAGTTTATGTATCTTCACAGTAAGTGACTCTCATAGTTATTCTTTAAATGCTAGCCACTGTTGTTGGGTCAAGTTAATGGGCTTCATATTCCTACTATCACTAGGTACAATCTATAGTTTTGTATTAGTGATTTTAAAGCTTTTTTAATTAGACAAGTGATGTGGAACCGAAGTCAAAGTAAACCTTGTACGCATTATGCTTAGTTTAAGTGAAACTCCTTTTCCACTTATCTCAAGACTCATTAACTGAAAGTAGATAGTGTTTTTGGCTTATTCGTTTCTTCTAAAGACCGCTAGATGGTGGTAACTTTTAAAACATATGTACGTGAAGGAATTTTCTTTGTCTTGCCCCTTTTACAAATGCTATCAAAGCTTTCTGTTAACTAATAAAGGATGTCATCTGTTCAGGAAGCAGGTGTCCGAGTATATTGTTTTCGTCTTTCGCCTATCCGTCTCTCCTTC